ACAACATGTATGTTTTCTACCTATGATGGAGAATAGTTCTGGCACGAGACCACCAGATGATCATTCTTTTATGCACCCTCCGCATCATTTAATGCATTTAAGTGGTGATCAACCACGTCCACCATCACAATCAATTCGATCAGATGATTCACTATTTAACTCAATATTAAATGATTTAAAAATACCACCTTCATCGAATTCCACTGTTAATGACAAACAACCACTAGGTGATTGATAATCTTCAATAAAAAGTAATAGAATCTATCTGATGTTGTGTGTGAACATATCTTTTTATCTTATCCTCATTGTTGACTTCTATTTTCTGATTTATATTTGTACAAATAAAGGATTTCTTGTCGTTTTTCTCTTTATATCCAACTGTTTCTATTCTTTCTTTGGATTTTTTCCTATTCTTATGATTAATGTTGTTCTCTAATTTGTTCTCTGTTGCCTTCTTATTCTGTTTGAATATGAAGGAAAAAGTGAAGTTTTTTTTCTTTTTTCTTCTGTGTAACTTGAAAAATGAATAAAAGGGTGTGGGTATCATTTTCTCTTTACCCACACCCACAGCCCACACCCTATGGTGAGAAATGTAGTTTCGGGTTATTTATAAATTTTTCTCTTTCTTGTTCTCTTCTTTCAATTTTTGCTCTATTAGAACAATGCTATGACTGTAGTTATGTTACATATCACCCTGGAACGGTTTTGAAGGAAGAGTGTTCGGAAGAAGAAAATAGCAGATTCGTAGTCAGCGTGATCAGTTATCTCCGTCCCCGTTGAGATCTCAAGAGGGTACCTCTAACTCAGAGCAAAAATTTCTTTTATGAAAATCAATGGCTGCTGTCGTACACATAATATCGAAACGATCAAACATGGTGGACGTGCTTGTGTATCTTCGTGACAAATTGTATTTGAGGATATTGGCGTGAGTATATATTGAAGAAACACACACAAGGACTGGCACATCCACATGCTCAATCGTTCTCTATCACAAAAATTGTCCCGCATGAGTTGTTCAATATGAAAACTAATGATGGATAAGACGACTTACAAAATATATTAATCAAAACTGTCTTCGGTTTTGTTAAGCCTATCCAAGAATTCGATATAAATTCCGAATGTGCATGTGTTGTCTGTTCGAAACATGCACATCAGCATTCAAGTATCGATATAATTAATATTATGGTAAGGTTTTTGACCGGATAAAACATAATTAAGATAGAGCTTGAAATTTGATTATAAGTATCATCAGTCAATGTAAATGAGACTGCCCTATATTATCACTTTTTTCTTAAATCTTGACAAAAGTTGGAATGTCCACCTGCACGACACTTAATAACAATTTGATCGTACACAGAAGCATTAAATGCATCAACAATTAGCTGAAAACGCCAACCAGATTTGAAAGTCAGATGCAGTAAATTCGACATCACAAATTTTATGTGTATTATAACGTTATTCTCAGAATTAATAAGTGAAACTATTCAATTGGATAGTATCTAGAAACTCTAGATAAAGCTTAAGATACAAGGAATTGCTAAATTCGAGGCACTAACCTGCATTTCACAGTAACAGCACATTTTTCGTCCGATGACTCATGTTGAAATTAATACCATTCGATAGATGATTGTATTTTGCACCTAATACAACCAATTAAAGATCCAACACAAGTCAAAAAACAACTCCTCACAAGAAAAGATCAAATACAGTGCTAATTTTACTGACGTATTCCATCAAAAGTTTGTTGATAGGTCTTTGAATAACTTCTTTTCAAATCAAATTATCATAAGATGAATTCAGTAAATCACTCAAAGTGATACTTTAATTTTAGATCAGATATAAAAAAAGAAAGCATAGGATGAGTACTTTCTTTTTGTTTCTAAATAATAAAAAATGATTCTCTACAATTAATAAATTAATATGTATTTGTTCTCGTAAAATTTAGATTCTATTGCACAACATCGACAAGTACAATATAAAAAAGAGAAGGAAAATAGGAAGTCACTGTTTTTTTATTTGTTCTTGTTTATACTGTAAATTTCTTTTCACTTTTATCAACATGCCAATACATTCGAACACTAGTACGATCAATCCAATTAAGATCAACTTTTTTCATTGGTGATGGTATTGAACGATCAAGTCGTTGAGCAGCATGTCTTGAAACAAGATGAATTGTATTTGATGAACCAAAAAATGTATTTGAGGATGTCTATATAAAAGAAAATAGGTTTAAGAGAAAACAAAAAATTAAATAAAAAATAGTTACCTGCCAAAAATATAATATCCCTTCATAAGCTGAATATGAAGCAAGATATTTTCCATCAGGTGAAAATTCTACACATGTAATTACTTCATTTTTTGGATGAGCTTGAAATGGCTAAACAAAATTTAAAAAAAATATTTAATTTTGATGGTTGGCATATTATGAAATTCTTACTTGATATTTTGGTGTTTTTAAATCATATAAAGCAAGAATACCAGTTTTTGTACCAACACATAGTTTAGGTGATTCATGACAATAAGTTACTATTGGATATCTAAAATAGACAATATTCATTAAGGTTAATAGAATCTATTAATGAACAGTGTTGTTCAGAGAGAAAGTAAAAAAAAAGGCTAATCATTCAATGCTTAAAGTTATTTGCTAAGAATTGGGGATAAATATATATATATAGTGATAATTTTCGATTTTTTTTCGAACGGATAGTCCATAAATAATTGTATTCTTGGTACTTTCAAAATCTCTCCTCTATTTTTCGCTTGATTGGAACATCCTTTTTTATCAAAAAATACCGCTCGATATAAAAATAGATATGAAATTAATGATGGATCAACAAAAATTTATTGTGATTTAGGCTCACACTTATTATCTCAGTAAAAAATGGTGTACAGATCATTTTCGTTCCTTCATATAGCAGAGTTATTAATCACCAAATCTACCCGATTTAAATTCGTTAAATTATATTTCATGGAATAAAATGGCTGAAACTGAATTGGGACCACATAACAACAAAAGCAACATCGATAAACAAGAACATTCTATCAAAAAAGTTGAAAAAGCAAAAACATTGATATTCTGTACTCGGTTTTCTTGTATGATTATATTTGATCCGAAAAAATGCAGAAGACTACATTTGCTAAATAAAGTATATCCCAATGTACAGAATTACAAGCGCTATCCTTTGATAAAAAAAAGGTGTATCAATCAATCAGAGGATAGACAACCATTCAAGTATCAAACTGCTACCAATTGATTGTCGGTGTACCGATGGGTTTTTTGTTAGATTCGAATCACAAGAAAAATTTTGAAAATATTAAGAGTGCAATACTTTATGAGTTACTCGTTAATAATGAATACAATTCGTCTTCATATTTTCTATTAGACTGCAAAGTTTTGCATAAAACAATAGTCAGATTCTGTCTGTTTTAGTTGCATTCTAAAAAGTCTAGCAAATGTTACGCTAAAAGAACATAATTAAAACTCTCATGTTATTTTTCATACCTTAATAATAATCCAAAAGTTTCGGATACAACTTGTACACCTTTGTGTCGAAGAGTACTTAAATCAATACAATTCAAAATAATATCAGTAACCTATAAGTAGAAAAAAAGAAAGAAAAGAAATCCATTAATTTGTTTATATTCATTTGTTCTAATCTACTTCAAGAATTAATTCTGCAACATCATGTGGACATTTTTCAATGAGAATTCTAATAAGACGAAGTATTTCAGTTTTTTGTTCATTTTTAATTGTTATTGATGCTTGTGATGGTGTCGTTGTACGTGCTGTTGTTGATGATGTTGTTCCAGATTGTGCAAGAACATATTTAGCAATTTCACGTGCAAGTGTTATTATAACTACATTTGAACGAGACGTTGCAATTAAATTAAGGGCTGTCCGTGCTGTTAAACAAGTATCAGTTTTAGGTGTTAATATTCCGCTAAGTACGCTAAAAAAGAAGATTATATTTTTTTAAAACAAAAATAAACAAAAAACAAAAAAAAAAAAAGAAAGTTATAAGTTGGGTATCGAAACAAAACAAATACAACAACCAATAAAAACATGCATGCAGTTTCAACCAACACACCTTGTTGCATGTCGTTGAATTGTTAGATCATATTCTCTAGAGGAAAATAAAGCAAGCAATCCCATCACCCTCGATGTTAATACTACCTGCTCGTATAAACATTAGGTCGCCTGAAATCATCATTCTCACTCAAACCCTCATTATTGGAGTATAGAATACTTACTTGCTTGTTACTGTTGAACTATCACTAATAGCACATAAATCAAGTAATGTTAATAGCACTTGTCCAATATCTAAATATGGTTCCCATATAGTATAACCACGACCAATAAGATCGATTGCTGTTCGACGAATAACACTGTGTAATGGAATGTGATCGAAATTAGATGGAGATAAAAGACTTGTTAGAATACGACCTAAAATTAGTCATAGTTGGATCAATAAAAATTTTTGTAATATGTGATGGAAGATGAAATATGAAATTCGAATCTGATATGTATCTGATTATATTTGTTGATCGTCTAATTTTGTGCTTCCTCGTAATGCGATAGTCTTTTTTATTTTATTATTGAGTACGGAAATACAATCATAGATCCCAATATACTATTTTTGATCCGAAAAATGATTACCTGCATCAGTTAGTTTCATTAAATATCTCTTTTTTTTTCATTATTTTCTTCTCGTACTCAATATAATATTCCGATATACTTTTAGTTATTGTATGAAAGTTTATAAAAACCCTTTGTCATAGCATACAAGAATTCTTTCTTTTTTTGTAATGGAAATCTTAATAGAGTTCATGAACTATGCCTCTTTATACATGTATTCGATTAACCTAAAAATAATTCGTAAAGAATAAACTATAGGCGGAGTCGTTGTTTTTGTTTTAGTCCAGTTAAGTCCTGATTTGTACTTATTGATACTTTATTCCACATGCGAATAGAATATTCTATATCGTTTTGCAGAGTTTCTTACTCAATTTTAAAATCATTTCTGGACTGTCAACTGTAAACCCTTTAATTGCAACAGATGCTTGTTTTGTTTGTTCAACTTCTTGTCCATATCGTGTACCAACAATACCAATAAGAATAATAGATAGTAATTGTTGTGTTTTATACTGTTCTTTAGCTGTTGTTGTTGTTGCCGTTGTTTCATTATTATCTTGAAAAAAAGAACAGATAAAAGAAATAATTTTTTTTTTGTTTTC